AAATTCTGTTACAAGACATGTTTGCTATTTAATGACCAAAAATGAGGTTAAGGTTGAATTGGTCTGCATTAATATTATTATGAGTCACTATAAAAATTTTGTTACAATACTTATTCGCTATTCCAGTGATATGCAGTATTTAGTTAAGGTTGAATTTTGTTTAGAATAAATTTTTTGTAATCTCTATCGAAAGTTAATGTAAAAAAGTCTGATATATAGAGCTTATTATCATAAGTTACTATAAAAATTTTGCTGCAAACTTATTCGATACATTATATAGAGTTAAGTTGGGTTAATTTTATCGAAGTTATTGTAAAAATTTTCTTAAAGAACTTGCTTGCTATTCTGATAACCACAGTATGTAGTTGTTTAGTTTGCATTGGTATAATGTTTATTATTTCTATCGTGAGTTGCTGTAAAAATCTGGTACAAACCTTACTATCTGGTGATACACAAATGTGATTCACTAACGCTTACATTACAGATGTTACTCATCCTAATATCAAAGACACAAAGTATGTATACACACGAAAGTCGATTTTTTAAAACCATAAAATAGATGACAACTTAATTATTGTATTACGCATGAGGGTCGTTTTTGTATCCTTGATTCAATTTTTTTTGTATTGATTATTAATTTGTAGATCGATTACAAATACGTACGTATTATGACGACATTAATCACGCAACAAAATGTCGCAATAATTACACCTCTTAATAGCGATAACGATGAATAAAAATTACAGCATCTAACCAAATGGGTATAGCATATGTAAAGTTTTCATACGTATATCAATATTTTTTTAATTAGCCACTACAAATAATTAGATCCAACCAATCAAGGGTACATTTGCATGAACGGCCATAATTTTATTATCAGTTATAAGGGGAAAAAACAAATAAAACAAATAAAATAGCCATAGTAATCTATAGAAAGAAGCACTATCACTAGTTGAGATTTCTAGTGTTTAAAAATCGATTGGTCATTAAACGATCTGTTGAATATAGTGATCCAAGCCGATTAAATTTTTACGGCTAGGCTAAGCCATTATATTTTTAATGGTTTAGCAATAATTTATGTTATGCTGAATTATAGGATGTCTATATATAGTAAATATAGTATTAAAATAACTTTTTAGGTTCGAGTTTACTTTAAATATTATGACTGTTTTTATACTATAGAATTTTAAATTACAATTAAATTCTTGGAAACAAATAAGTATTCAATCGAATAGAGATTTGTTACTATAGCTTATATATTATTTGTGTCAGATCAAAATTTCAAAACTGTTTAATTATAGTTAGGGTAGAACCCTATGTTGGGTAGTTTATTAGTGGCATTATAATTATTTTGATCTAATGCAAAATTTTTGATTCGACGTATAACGATAACAGAGATTTAAGTTTGGTAATGGATTTTTTTTTTATACTATAAAAATTTTAGTTATATATACAACTTTGAATTTTGTAATTAATATCATTAGCCGTTATTAGCCGGCTGATTAGACTATCAGCTAGCTAAGCGGCTAACTTAATCGGCTTGGAATCAGTGTTTAAAATCCGCAAATTCAAAGGAAAATTTACTTGCAGAATTAATTTTTAATCTGCGCACCGCAGATTCCGCACATATAGATTTTAAACACTGCTTGGAACACTAGTTGAATAACATGCAAGAATGAATTCAGAAGAGAAATTTTGAAACAATGACCTTTTAAGGTTACTTTTGTATTGTTGCTATTTTATAACTATAAAATAATAATCGCGATAAAGTTATATACTGTTGAACCTATCCTGTCAAAGTCGATAGACTGTCAAATCTGATAAAAAATTAATTTATTGAGTCCGTTTCCGTTATACTGTATAAATATAGTGTTTTACCCTCTCAATACTAATACAAAATCTGACCACCATGCAAATCAGTTTTGAGAGGTTCAACAGTATGCCATTCTTAAATTTTCCAATAGATAAGTAGGGCCAAGACTAAAATTTTTGAATAAACCCTGAAACTTGAAATCCACTAATCGACTAGGCTGGTTGCTTCATCGCTATCTAATCTAAAAGTCTTAATAGTTACTAGCACTAAACTGGTAAATTTAAGGGTGTTTCTATTTCTAAAAATAATTATAGTGCGCATAATCTAGTTTTATTCATAGTATAGTGATGTTTACCATATTAGGGCTATTTCGTATAGTTAGTTAATAGGCATAGAATACAGTAGTTAGCATAGCGAACTTTCATTGTTATTGGCTGATTTTTTTAGATCATCCTGTGACATTGCAAAAAATCCTATTGGCTAATCGAGATCGTTTTACAAGATTTATTAAACGAAAATATTTTTATTGTCATTAATAAAAGCGTTGCTACCAGCACCAATAACTCAAAGTCTAAAAAATCAATCCAACACAAACAATATCCTATAAGCCAAGATCTTATTAATATTAAAAAATAAAAATAAAAAATTAGAGCGCATGATGCAAAATTAAATAATTGGCCGGCCGAGCCAAAATTTGAAAACTTCTAAAAAAATTTTTTTTATATGTTTTACAGCTGTTACCATAATTTGATAAAATTTGCCGAATTATTTTTCGTTCGATTCGGTTAAGTTTGTGATTTCAGTAGGATCGGTATATAGTTCAATAGATAGATGAACCATTTGGCATAAAGGTGTGACAAATCACTATGTGACAAATAAGAATTAACTAATTGATTATATTATTTAACGCTTATTAGCCACGCCCAGGTGATCCTTTCATTGGGCGTAGAGGTGTGACGAATCATTTGAGTGACCAATAAATATATTCAATTAGTTAATGCCTATTTGTCACACAATGATCCGTCAGAATTATGAAAATAGCTGTAATAAAAAAAATTTTTTATAAATTCCTATGGTGTTTTACACCATAGGTCCCGATTTCTCAAAGGGTACTCTAAGTAAAAATGCTCAGGACCCAAAAACCTCACAAAAACTGAGATCGGGACCTTATATTAGCTCTATATTACATTATATAAAAAGAAAAATATTTCTTAATACCCGAACCCTAACCCTAAAAACAATTATATATGGTGCTAAAACACCATAGGTGCGTTTTATAATAATTGAAATTTTATATATGACCGCCGGGTCTATTTAAAAGTTTTATGTAATGAAAACCAAGTAATTAAATATACATGGCCCAAAAAAATAAAAATGAAATAAAAAATAAAAAGCACGAGAAAAAAAAATAGAAAGCATGAAAACAGTTACTCTAGGAGACTAATATAAAATTTTAGACTAAATTGTCCCTTCTATTGAAGCCAAACCAATTTAACTTTAATATTCTGAAACGTAACATTATGATCACTGACCTATTTTACTTGCAATACTGTCTTTAGTATTATAAATAAATTAGCGAAATAAACCTTTTGAAAGTAAATTATAGATTCATAAATTATGTGCTAAATTGAATAAATTGAACCTAACTCCGAATTACCTCGCCGATTGCGAAATTACTTTAGTATGCTGTAGAGCTGTAGGTGACTTTCTAATTTTTATGTCGTAAACCCTGCAAATTTTTATTTGTGGCTGCGAATTCATTTTTATCGTTACTTTAATAAGGCTTCATCAATTGAGATGATCTGCAAAAATCAACCAATCATAATAAAAGTTCGCTACGCGAATAGTTTAGAGTCACTGATCAAAATAAAAAAATTCATAGTTAAAACTGAGAAAAATGATTCTTCAACAAAATACAAGTCAAAAAAAGCCTTTACTATTAATCTTGCACGTTCGTGGTGGTCCTTGGAATCATGATTATTGTTATTCAAAGCTGATTCACTATTGCTTGCAATATGTTAAAACACGATTACGTCTCGTCTCCCCGACAGTCATTTTCCTATAGGCCATTTACCTGACATCACGCAGGTGTGATAATTTACCAACAATATATTTCTGCAACTTATCAATGCAAACCCTATGTGACGTCACCAGTAGGGGAATGACAGTCAAAGCTACCGGTATTGGATAGGGCTGAAAGTACTTCCCGAAGATTTACGATTGAAATGATTGAATAAAATGACTAAAACGCCTGAAATGACTGATATGGATGAAAAGAAGACAGATAGGACTAAAGGAGGAAATGTAAAAGGAACCGTATTAGCGCGAAATAACGACCATGGGCGTTATTTCGAGGTTCGGCCCGAATTAAGTTTAATTTAGGCCGGAATTCATAATTTCACCCCTGCGCGTTATTTCGCGGTAATACGGCATAATGTTTTATCTCGTATGTATCTTAAATATTTAATTATTGATAAAAGGGCTTAGCATCCATATCTGAAATGACTGTTTCCTGGATTATCTACAAATGAGTATAGAGAGTTGCTATTAAATGTAATAACCCGAGACCCTAGATTGTAACCCACGAAGTGTTATCCGACATTTATTTACCTTACTGATTGAGACAATTCCGAATAACAGTATACTACTCGGCACTAAGTGTCTCTTCGATGACCAGAATTAGTGTTGTAGTCAGTAATAGTTTGATATTATTATTGGAATCCGATTTCAAACCTTTCACTATTATTAAATATTCGAAATTTTGAGGGAGTTACTGTATTTAACCCAGGTCGATTCTGATTTCCGAAATTTTTGAATATGATTATATCTCAATTTTGTATATACCAATTTAGCTCTGATGGTTGACTATATTGCATTGAAAATTATGATTTCAATGTCAATAATTTCAGGATTAGGCGTTGTTTATCATTTTTAAAAAAGTTAAATGAATTGTTATTTCATTTATCTGAATTTTTTGTATGATAATAAACGATGAATATATTTCGAACAACTAAAATTAATTCTGTTTAATGAATGTTAAAACTAGAATATCGTTTTATAAATTGATAAGATATTAATAGAAATACAAAAAATTATTCACTAAAATTTCTAAGTAAAAAAAAAATTAAATTTTCACGATGTAACAAAATTAGTAATATAGTAATGATTTTTAGAGATTCAAAATAAACTAATCAGCTTTTTGTGCTTTATCTTTGCCTTTACCAAGATATCTTTTACGTTGTCCAATCATATGAGTGTACAACGTGTAGAACCCTAAAAAAAAAAAGTATGTATTAAAAAAAACAGTGTCTTATCTTAAAATCAGTAGATCAATACAATTTAAATACCTGGTACATATACAAATAATATTACAACTTGAAGCCAATAATAAATTTCGCTCAATTGTTTAGAATATGGAAGTGATTGATAAACTAATATTGATTCACTTCCTGCTCCAAGAGGATATAAAATAAAGAAAAATGTATATCTAATGAAAGATCAAAAAAAGGTTTATAAAAAGTAAATCAGGTGTAAAATGAATTATATAAATAGGAAAAAAACCAATTGTTGAACACATACCGACACCATAAAAGGGAATAAACGTGAAATCCAGCAAGGTTAAATGCGTAATAAGAATATCTTACACATTCCGTGATTGACCATGCAATTGTCATGGTTGTGAACGCCCAATGAGGTTGAACCTTTAGGTAATCAATCGATATATTTATTATTGAATAAAAAGTATCGAAATAAACAAAGATAAAACGTGTTACAGATATGAATGGTGTAATAAACATTACCTCTGGAAATATATCAACTACGCCCCAAACTAGAAATAAACGAGATGCAACTTGAAACGCAGTGGTTATGAGTGGTGATCTTACGAAACCTTTTTTTCAAAATGAAACATCAATGAATAATTTATTGAATATTGTTTTTTTGAACTAAAAATAAATCACTAAAATTAAGGCTTACCAAATATAACATGAACTAACTATAAAAAAAAATAGATTATTATGTGAATTAGTTTACAACATAGGTTTGCCACACAACAATAACTAACCTCTAAGAGGGCACCAGTCTGTACAATCATCAAAATCCAACCAACTCGATCATAGACAGTTGCAAAATCACCATTTTGAACCAACTCAGATAAAATCAATACAAGAACGTAAAACCAGCCAGCACAAGAAACAACATTATATAAAATAAGATAACTTAGTTTGATGTTATCTTAAAATAATTTAAAAATTTTGGTTAATTATTTAAACAAATTTAAATGTTTTATATGCCAGTGTTGTCAGTTTTTCGTATACATCATGAATCTTTTTACCCTTTTTTACTTTACTATTTGTCAACCCATATACTTTTTTCTTGACAACACCGAAATTATGTTAATTTAAAGACTGATTATTTTTACCTGCAGAGATTTGAGAAGACATTATGGTAATATATTGTTTACGAAATGAGAAGGCGTCATGAGATCATCATTCATGTAAATCAGGTTTTTATGCACCTTTTTTTGAATATTTTGTACGACAATCAAATGATTAACATTGATAAATATGTAATCATATTAACAATGAGTCTTCTTTAATCGATTGGCAGCATATTCATGCTTTCGATTAAGTGCATATTGCCATGCGAAAAGTAAGATCAATAATGGTAAAAGTGATTATCTATCTCATTATATCGATGGTGAGTACGTACTAATTTAAAGAAGTATCTAGAAAATCTTCTGCTTTAGTTCAGTCATCTACAAAAGTTAATTCAGCTTAAATGAAGAAAAAATATGGATTAAATAAAAAGCAAAAAAAAAAAAAAAAAAAGACTAAATATAAAAATAAAAATAAAAATTGATTTAAATTTTTTTTTCATGAGAAGAAGCTCTATTGCCGATATAATAAAAAAATTCTGTTTGTTACGGTGTCACCTTTAGGATAAATAAATAACCATAAAAAAACTAAGCGAGTACAGTATGTACATTTAAAAACTGCAAGGTTGAATAATGGAATGTTTTCCATAAAAAAAAAAAAACATTTTGAAACCTTTTAAGGCATAGCGGTATAATATCTATCATTTTACATTCTAGGGAAAATCTGAATTTTAAAATAGAATGCCAAGTTTCTGTGTAACGTATTAGCATAAGCATAAGCCACAGAACATTCTTGACCGTTAATAAATTTAACCGTTAATCTTCAAAGCATTAGTGTTAGTTAGTGAACAAGTTGATCATGGTACAGTAAATTGACATGAACGTAATCGTTTATCATTTTAAGCGAAAGCTTCTTTACAATAAATTGTTAAGTCTTGCTTGTTTATTATAAAGTCAATTACTTTTCTAATTTCTTACATTACGCACATACCAGGAATACGATCAAAGTTGAGGGTAAATCGATATTGATATTTTTAATATTTTTACAAATTCTTATGTAACATTACACAAATAACCGGAATTATAAATAGAGAAATACTAGCCAAGAAAAATTTTTTTAAAAATAACAGTATACAAACCGTATGTGTGAAATATTTTGATAGAAACATTGAGATTATTTAAATTGACAAATAAGATAAGATTCTTATACAGTATTATAACTAATTATAAATATTTAATAAATATTTCATGAGTGATTGATAAGAAACTATTATACAGATAGATTGTGTTATCAATGCTGATTTTTGATATATCAATTAATCAATTAACTGTAATCACATTATTTTATAATTAATTGTTCTAAGTGTATATTGATATAAATTATTTGTACCGGTATTTTGTAAATTACAACTGTAATTATTATTATTAATTATTTATAATTAGAATTCGACAATAGAATAGATTTTAGAAACTATAGTTTATAAATATTATCGAACTGATAGTTTAATAGTTAGTTTGCATCTTCTTCCCAATCTGCATGACATGTCAATCGGCTAATAAGCTTCCCCATCTAGCAGGGCATGACACTAGTTGACTATTTTCATCGGTAAAGAATTTATCCCTTTCCGATCCGCGATCCGCGTGACACATAGATCGGCCGATAATTTCCCATCCGTGGGACAAGACCCTTTCGACACATAAATCCGATCTAACATTATCGGTTTTTATCATAATTAATGCGCACACGTACGTACGTACGTGTATACCAGATACGTACGTACGTACGAACAATTAATTCTACGTACTGTACGTACGTACGTATACCTGATACGTCATTACACATACTATATCAGATATACTGTGCAGTTGACTACGCCACTTATACTAAATAAATATTTTGAGTAACTTAACAGAAATTCGGTGACTTATTCTGGAAGTTTGAAAATAATTATGTGCAACATGGATTTAGTAAGCTTTAATTACAGTAATAAAATTAATGTTTTATGTGCAACATAGACCGTCTTAAACTGTCCTAGACTGTCCTTTGTCGGAATTGACTCACCGGCACGTGTAGGGTCTAAATTTAGTTATTGTCAACTGATAGGTTATAGAGTACGTACGTACATACCAGATTGTTTACGTATGTACATACGTAAGTACAGTATGTGCGTACGTGCTCGATTGCGTAGTTGAAAGCTATTCCGAGAATTTCAAAAACTTTAAAATTCGGGGGGGTACGAATTAAAAAGGTGGGATATTGTTAAAAAAGGCAGTTCATTAAGCGCATCTATCACCACAAGATTTCTAAAAATTAATTCACCATCATAATTCTTAGCAAATTTATATTGCCATGGTTTCTTTTAAACAAAGACAAACTTTATCATAGGAATAAATTTAGGAGATCATATGAGATTGACATTAAAAATAAGTCAATTGCTCTACAGCTTGGTAGAATAAGGGAATAACTTTGTGGTCACCAAAATTCTAGAAAGTTTAGAACGATAAATCCAGTAGAAACAAAGAGTTTCAGTTTGAGCGCACGTTCTTACTAAGCAGTTTCACAATTATTTAAATAAATATCAACAGCATACAGTACATATGCATAACATACATGTAATTGTTTCGTAGCATATCTTAAAGAATAGAAAAATTTCTTCTTTATATTATGCATTAATTCAAAAGAAAAAAAACTGCCTTTTTTTCGCCTAATTACGTTAAAATTATTACATTAGCTAGCCATTTTAGGTTATTGATAAAATGCATTATAAGAATTTGTCAGCGGCCAATGGGCACGTGGGTCTATTTTTAACTTCATCTGCATATTAAAAAGGCACATGATTACTACGTAAAAATTCTTCGAAGATAAGAGAAAATTATTATATCAAGTACTGTAATTTATATAGTTATAAACAATATTTTTAATAATATATTTAATAAACAATATTTTTAATAATATATTTAATATAATTTAATATATATATATATATAATATATTTTGATACACACAATAAGATTATTTTTTTTAATTCGTCCTTTTGAACGATAATTATAACAATAATTTAGCCGCAACAAGGAAAAACATTTTTGCTTACCGGTAGTTTCGTTAATTTTTCATCGGTCTCTATTTTCCGGATGATATATAACGACTTTTTTCTTGTATTCTCAATTTATATACATTTATATCCCAAAGGTTCCAAATATGTTGGCATGGGAATTATTTATTTATTTCCAGTAAGATTTGATTATTTCTATAAAAAAATTCACATATCAGTTTAAAGTATGGAGGCACACGCAGCAAGACCATCCCTTAATAGTAGATCAATAATGTCAACAAAAAAATATAAATACAGTATAAAGTTAGAATTCCTTTTGGATTTTTGTGAAGTACAGCCACTTCAGTTTTTTAAAAGTTTTTTTAAAAAAATTCACGCGATGCAAAGTAAAACCGTAACCGCTACGAAATCAAAACGGGGACGTAAAGCGTATATAACACCAGAAAAAACTGACACTACAGGAAAATGTCATTTTATGATAGTGAAGAGAGTGCAAAATGTCGTTAAGAAAAAGAACAAAAGTCAATGTAAAAATTGCGATATTAACGAAGAATATATTAACACATTGTCTGAACGCATAAACAAAATAGAGCATTTAATTAAAGATTTCGAAAAAGGAATGAAAAATTTTGGACAAAAGCAATCTAATGATGACGACCGTACTAATAATACAAACTTCTTACAAATGGATACTGATTCATTAATTAAATTTTCTGAAAGACCTGAATTCGTACTATTTAACGATATAAATTCTCAACCTCAATTTTCTCCTTATTACCCAAACAACATATATATTGATCAAAATATTGCGCCTCAATATTTTGATGCTACTATGCCTTTCGATAATCGACCTTTTTCATTTTATCCAAATTAATATCTTTCATTGTAGATAAGCTGCTTAAGAGTTATATGTGAATATTGATATGTAATAATTTTATGGATATGAATTATCAGTATATTTAGATTTTTTTTTTCTACCTACTTTGTATGAGAAAAATCGTATAGGATACCTATTGTTCTAGTGCTATAGTAAAATTCTCTCACCTTTTTCATTTACATTTTTACTTTAGTTTCTTTATATTTTTATGTACAAAATTTATGTATAAATTTATGTATAAATTTACGTATAGAATTTACATCTTTATATAGATAAAAAAGAAAATATTAAAAATTTGATTATTTTTCAAAAAATTATGTAAAATTTACAAGTTTTATGCTAAAGAATATGAATGGTATTTTCATATGATAAAATTAAGGACATCCCGTTGTTTTTTTTTTTTTAGTTTATCGGGAATTCATTTCCATAGCGATAGCGACTTTACAATAAAATAAATTATAGACTATTTTTCAATTATTAATTGAATTATACAGGTTTGTGTTAAGCCCTTAACGTTAATAAGCGAAAAAAAAACGGATCAATTATCTTAAAAATATCTCTTCCTAAAATGTCAACAATTGTCCAATTTCTATAATTCATAATATTCATAATATTCCAAATGAACATTACAAACTTGTATAATCCATTTAGAAGAATAAAATAACAAATATGTCAAGTGATTCTCGATCTATTTTAAATTCGAGATATTAATAGATTGAGAATCCCTGCATTTGTAAATGCTAGGAGAGTCTATAAAATTCATTCAAAATACGTTCATACCAGATACGTATATGTTCATATGTACGCAATAAATAAATTTGCTTCTTCATAACCTTTTCTGCTACGAACTTGTTTAGACTCTATAATAAAGTTAAATTGTGCATCTTTTAAAAACTTCTCAGAAGACCTTAGAAGATAGTAAAGTAATAAAATTTAACCCAATTTTTGGGCGTGCATGAATTCTTGTCAATATCATATTAGTCCATTCTAATTATGTAAGTGGCTAAAAAATTTTTCATCGGACGTGACATATAATAACGCCATTTTTATTTATTGATCTGATTAGATTTAACATTTAAAATGTTATTTATTATTATTATTATTATTACAGATTAACCAATGGAATTTATTTGCGTA